CTGGACACAGTTCCAGCGCCGAGGGCCTACTGGCGGTTCCCTCATTGCGAGAAGTGAGGTTACAGGGAACCAGGCAGAGGGCCTTCTCGTTAGTGGCGCCCACCCTGTGGAACGCCCTCCCATCAGATGCCAAGGAAATAAGCAGCTATCCTATTTTTAAAAGACACCTGAAGGCAGCCCTGTTTAGGGAAGTTTTTAATATTTAATGCTGTATTGTTTTTAACACTTGATTGGGAGCTGCCCAGAGTCGCTGGGGGAAATTTAGCCAGATGGGTGGGTATAAATAAATTATTATTATTATTATTATTATTATTATTATTATTATTATGTTTGGTTTTTTGTTTTGTTTTGTTTTGTTTGTCGGGAACCCATTTTCCCCCTGTTGAGGTCCCTTCACCTTATTCCATTTATTTGTTTCCCAAAATGCATACACCCCTTGATTGGGTACTGTGTGGCGGCTGTAACAGTGGCATGCAAATTTCACATTTGTGGCTGCCTCTGACATGTGGCACTCGGAAGGTTGACCAGAAGCAGGGGCATAGCGTGGAGAGGGCCAGGGAGGCAGTGGCCCCTGGAGCAGATTTTTGAAAGGGTATGAGGGGGCACAACCAGTGTGGCGTTTGCCCGTTTAGAGCCTGTCTATACAGGGGAAAAGAAAGGGTTAAAAATGTAGACCAACAGGAAAGCTGGAGGCGGAGCCTTCATGTGTATAAAAGGGCTTAGCCCGAGGTTTGTTAGAGTTGTTGGTGGGTAAAGGTAAAGGTAAAGGGACCCCTAACCATTAGGTCCAGTCGTGGACGACTCTGGGGTTGTGGCTCTCATCTCGCTTTATTGGGCGAGCGAGCCGGCGTACAGCTTCCAGGTCATGTGGCCAGCATGACTAAGCCTCTTCTGGCGAACCAGAGCAGCACACGGAAACACCGTTTACCTTCCCGCCGGAGCGGTACCTATTTATCTACTTGCACTTTGACGTGCTTTCAAACTGCTAGGTTGGCAGGAGCAGGGACTGAGCAACGGGAGCTCACCCCGTTGCAGGGATTCGAACGGCCGACCTTCTGATCGGCAAGTCCTAGGCTCTGTGGTTTAACCCACAGCGCCACCTGCATCCCTTGTTGGTGGGTAGTTGGTTGATTTTAGTGGGTTGGCTGGTTGGGAAAGGCAGTTGGAAATAGAGAGACAGTTAGGGCAGTGGGTTCTTCAGTGAGGGGAGGTAGAAGAGATAGAGAGGGGAAAATAAGACTAAGAAAGTAAAGAATAACAACGTTTGAATGCCGTAAAAGTTTGTTTGTGTCTGAAATAAAATACACTCTTCGTTATTACCTTGAGAACCTGACTGAGACTGAAGTTATTTTACTGGGGAGGACCTGGTTGGTGGCAGTGGATTAGTGGTGTACGGGTCAATAGTCCGTGAGACGACCGGGGACTCCGCACGAACACCACAACCAGGCACCCCCACGTAGGCTCACTCACTCACCAAGCCCATGCCTGGGTTGGGCCTTCAAGGATGGGGCAACAGTGGTGCCTCCTTCTCTTGTGCATGCTCCGCCCCTGGGCAGGCCGAGAGGGAGGGAGAGGGCAAGAGGCTGTGGCGGCCATCTTTCCCTTTGTGAATGGGGCACCACAGCCTTCAGGTCTGCTCCCGGTGGCTTTGAGCCTCTTTCTCCCTTTCTTCACTCACTGCTGTGGCTCTGTTAGTGAGGAGGTCTTGGGCTGGCACGGCCACCCTCTGCGCCCTTCCCCCTGGCATGCGCACCCGCATCCCGGGCACCGAGAACCTGTGCTACGCCACTGCCCAGAAGGGCTGTAAAACCTTCCCAGCCCTGCCATAGCTGGTAGCTTCAGCAAAGTGCTGCTGTTTTGAGAGGGTGCCTCTGGACAGGTAGCATGTTGCTTAAAACGAAAATGGCACACAAACTTTCCACCTCGCCTGTGTAACGCTTATGCAGCGAGAAGCCGGCCTTATCAGTTTTAACAGATTGGACCATAGCCTCTGAGAGATGAGATTTTTATCTCAGGAATGAAAGGAAAGGGAGGTGGGAAGGATGAAAATGATGTGGATTTTCAGATCCAAAGCTGAGGGCAAACAATGTCTTTTCAGTTGCCAAAACAGTAACTACATGTTTTCCCCTTTACAAAGAGAAAGAGAGAGAGAGGAAGAAAATGTTAATTAGAAAAATGCACATTTCAAAGGAAGCCCTATTGGTTTCATTATACAGCTCCCAATTTATTTTACTTCCCATTGATTTATAATTAGCTTGGGCCAGATTCTAGGCTACACTAATCAGTACTTCAGTAATCCTAAATTACTCATTTCTTTCTCTCAGTGGAAAGTTAATCACTGCTTCAGGTTCACTTTAACCGATTGCAAGGAACACCCGGTGTCAATTGCGAAAGTTTGAGACAATTCCCTGGTGTCCTTTGGCCTTACGCCCCTCTTTGACCCTGATATGTCTGAATCCTCATTTGCAGAAGTGCAGAAAGGTATGTGGCATTATGCCTGGAATAATTTTTGTGGGTCTCTTTTAACTTCATACATGCAAGGCAGGATTAGTAAAAGAAAACAAGAAAACACCTCTTACTCATTGTAGGGATGAGCCTTTTCAATGTGTTTTTGGGAGGGGGAAATTGGTTTTGTTGTTGTTGTTTTTTAATGCAATTTCTGTCACCATTTTGCATTTTTATGTTGTGAACCGTCCTGTGATCTTGAGATAAAAGGGTAGTACAGTTGTACCTTGGAAGCTGAACGCCTTGCAAGTCAAACGTTTTGGCTCCCAAGAACATTTGGCGAACGTTCTTTGGAAGTTGAACATCTGACGCAGCTTACACAGCTTCTGATTGGGTGCAGGAAGCTCCTGCAGCCAATCGGAAGCTGCGCCTTGGTTACTGAACATTTTGGAAGTCAGACAGACTTCTGGAACTGCATCCGTTCAGCTTCCAAGGTACGACTGTATATCAATTTAATAAAAGCTGATGCTGATACTGGGTGTTTTGGAGTGCTCCCCGTGCTCTGCCCTGGAAGGAAAGTTAAAAAGAAAAAGAAGAATTAAGTTCAGCAAAAGGGAGAGGGAGGAGATAGGAGATTCAGAGGCTGGTGGGAAAGATCTGGGTTTCTACGTGCACACACAGAGAGACATATCCAGACACACCAGACCTCAGCAAGAGTCAAGCCCAGGTAATCAGTTGAATGAAGTTCAAAAATCCAGAGATACTACACCAGAAAGTGAATTTTGGGGCAGACCTTTGAGTGATTTCTAGTACATCTTTGCATGCACTAAAACCACCAACCCTGTTAGGAGGCCTGGATTCTTAGACCTCCTTTCAAAAAAAGCAAGTCAAGCACTGGGAATATTAAATTGATTTCATCTTGGTGGTGGGGTGATTCCTTCCTTCCACATAGGGCCTCTATAGATGGGTGGTTGTGTGAACATATCTAGAGTTACTGGCTCATCTTAGCTTAGCTAAGAGAAATCAGGAATATTGTTATGAGGTGGCCCAAGAGTCCTGAGTCCTAGGGTTTCCCACCAGGCCATGAATCCCCTCCCCTTCCTCCCCTTCAAAAACTTGATTTGTTTTTAAAGCATTGCAACATTCGCTCTGAAAGTTGGCCTGAATTTGGAGCTATGCATATAAATTAGCTTTTGTAAATTTTATGCAAATCCAAAATATGGTCCTGTGTCCTGGCTTTTTTTTAATTAAAAAATAAATAAAAAATGGATCTAGCAGCACCCCTAGGCAAAATAAACTGATGTTTGGGAAAGTGAAGGAGATGCAAACATCAGAAATCTATCTTGTAGGCTTAAGTTAGTTAGAGGGGAAAGCAGGAAGGACAAGTTGCAGATATGTGGGATGCCTTCTTGCATTATGTAGCTCATCAGACAGGGGTATTAAAACCACCACTTTTTCAGAATTTTTTTCTTTGGTTCAATTTATTACTGAGATACCTCTGTTGCTATGCAATCCCTGATGGTCTTTGCTAAGTGAATGTATTCTGTTGCTTGTGAATGTTCTCTTTTAACATGCAGTAAACTGCCTTGTTGTTGCTATGGTTGTTGTTGTTGCTGCGATAATTTATTACCCACCTAAGGACACAAGATGGGTTACCACATTAAAACACACACAACATTAAAAACAGTTTAAAGCAACTTACAACCACAGAAATAAGGTTTTGTAGAGGTCTTTTGTATAGTTATGTATTGCATGGTGTTGTGATGTCATGGATTGGCAAATAAATTTTTAAAAAGAAATTACCTAGGTCAACCAGTTGTGCACATCGGTGGGAGTTGTGCAAAGGAAGTTCTTCTACTCAACAGACATTACAAAACTGGTTTGTTTGTTATGGATAAAATGAAGAAATTCCTGATTGATCAGTGGGAAACACCGTATTTTTCGCTCCATAAGATGCACCTAGTTTTTAGAGGAGGAAAACAAGAAAAAAATTATTCTGAACGAAACAGTGGATGTATGATTTTTCTGGTTCATGATATGTGATTTGACAGTGAGTTTGGGATAGCCCAGTGCAAAAATCCTGAGAATCCATGTGGATCCGAGCTTTGTAATCATGTTTTTGCGCCATTGCGGCCCCACAAAACAGTGGATGTGTGATTTTTTTGGTGCAGGCTGTAGCCATGGACATGCTATGTGATCTGATGGTGAATTTGGCGTGATCCAATGCAAAAATCCTGAGGATCTATGTGCTTTTACCTCCCCCCTCGCAGGCAGCCTCCTTTATTGCTAGCGTCCCTTATCTCCCTCCCGATCACTTGCTGATCAGCTGCTCAGCGGCTTCGTTTCAACACCCCCCCTCTTTCTAAAAAAATAACAACAACAAAATGATCTGCTTTTTGCCCCTGGGCAATTCGGTTTCAGGGACCACGCATTCACTCCATAAGGCGCACAAACATTTCCCCTTACTTTTTAGGAGGAAAAAAGTGCGTCTTATGGTGTGAAAAATATGGTATCCCTTGTCATCCATAATCTATCATTGTTGTTTACACACAGAGGGAAAAGTAGCTCAGTAGTAGAGAATCTGCCTCACATACAGAAGGTCCCAAGTTCAATCCCTGGCATCTCCAGGTAGGGCTGGGAGAGAACCCTGTCTGAAACGCTGGAGAAACCACCGCCAGACAGTGTAGACAGTCCTGAGCCAGGTGAACCAGTGATCTGACTCAGTATAAGGTAGCTGCCTATGTTCCTATTTTCAGGAGGAGCAGCAGCTATAAAGAGACTTAAAAAAACAAAACAGAGAGGAAAAGGCAATAGAACAGGCTGTTGGTTTGCACAAACCCTAATTGTGCCACTCTCCTAGGTTTCATTATCCCTGAATGTCTTCAGTTCAGCAAATGACAAGCGGGCTGGGTGTGAAAGTGATGCCAGACCACTTCCCTTAGGATATTATTGCTGACACTAGCGATAGTTCATTGATTTTCGTGTAGGGGTAATGCGTAAACAAAAATGCATTCCATCAAGATTTAAGACTTTCTGTCGATACTTGTGAGATCCTAGTGAAGAAAATCTGCCTGGCTTTATTGTCTTCTCTATCATATTATCCTCTTCGGTGTTTGTGAGTTGTATCCAGCTAAGTCCTACTCAGAGTAGGCCCACTCAAATTAATGGACCTTGGAGCAACCCCATAGTTTGTTTTAAAGCAATGTACACTATCAGGTTTTAGGCCTGGGTAAAGTTGGGATACATGCCATCTAGTAGCTACATCTGTGCTTCTCTGCTGGGTTCTGGGATCACATGGCTGAAAACTTAGGTAACCTTACATCAGGTATAGTCTCTTCTGGTAAGGTCATGCAGGCAAAATGTTAGTAAGGAAGGCCACACCACGTAAGGTCTCAGGAAGCTGGGTCAGGTAAGGTAACATCAGGTTCTGGATATGGTAGTATGATTGGGCCAGATATGTCTAGACTCAGGTAGTTCTTTAAAGTACCATGGACAGCTCATTGTGAGCTTTGCTGGTTGTAGTTGTCCCTTTGTTGTAGGTAATTGGGGGTGCTATCAATGACCACAGAGAGCTGCCAGTGAGATCTGTGGGATGTGGCTCTCCCTTTGTTGTAGATAATGGAGGAAGTAATTACAGACCCTGCAGAGCTCCCAGTGAGCTTTGTGGGCTGCAGCTATCCCTCTATTGTAGCTAATGAGGGATGTTGTCTCAATAAAGGCTGAGCCTCATGAAGGCTGCAGTTGGCCTCACATCACTGGGTGTCCTTATTAAAGGGCTCCTGTGCCACTCTGTAAGTGCTGGCTTTTACAAGGTGGAGCAGACAGGGGGACTTCTCTTCAAAGTCTAAGAAGAGCCATGTTGCGGGAACATAGGAAACTGGCTGAGTCAGACGCCGGGTCCACCTAGCTTAGTATTGTCCACACTTGTTGGCAATTGCTCTCCAGGGTCTCTTCCAGCCCTCCCTGGAGACACTGATGACTGACCCTTCTGCATGCAAAGCACATGTGATAACCCTATGCTACAACCCTCTCCCTTCCTTGGGTTCCTCCTCATTTTTCTTGGGGCGGTGCAGAGCACTGTAGCAGGATGGGTTCAGGGGTTGTGACAGTACCACAGTGGAGGTTGGAGTCGAGAGGAAGAATCAAGGGTGAACGGGACATAGCAAGGCAGGACAGAAAAGGCAATGAATGGCAGCAGGAGCATTCTGAAAGGAGAGGTGAAAATTATGAAGTATGGCAGATCAGATTTCCTACCTTGTTGCCCAGGATGTAGGATTTGAGTTGTTGGAGAAGTGTAAGTTGCAACACCTGTAAGTACTGGCTGCCATGTGGTGCTGGTCACTCAATACAAGTGGTGGTGCCCTGTTTGTAGAATGCCACTGCGGAGTGGTTGAGCACATGCTTTGAGTGCAGAAAGCCCCAGGTCCAATCCAGGGGAAAATTACTATTGACTTTTAACTATTTGTTAGTTAACTCTCTAGAGCAGACTTTCTCAGTCTTGGCTCTCCAGATGTTTTTTTTTTTAATTAATATTTATTAAAGTTTCAAAAAGAATAAAATCACATTAATAAACACAAAAATTTTACAAAATACAAAGTACAGAATAGAAAAAAGGAAAAAAAAGAAGAAAAAAGAAAAGAAAAGAAAAAACAGTTAAAAATAGTTCCGTCCTTTCATAACCTCTTTTAAATTTACTTGTTTCCCAGACTTCCTCATACCTCCCTCTTTTGTATTCCAATTCAGTTTGTAAACCCAGCAATTTCTTACCCTCCTTTTTAATTCCAGTCCTAAATCTTGATATATTATGCCATTAGATTTTTACCTATTTAAACCTATTTTTCCGTTTCTCTTAGTCTTTTTGGTCCTAATCCTTAAACTTGATACATTTATAGCTTTAAAACCTGTTCAGCTAGAAGCCACTTAACTTCAATCCAACATCACTCTAACATTCATTGATTTTGCAGTATTTCTGTAAATAGTCTTTAAATTTCTTCCAATCTTCTTCCACCAACTCTTCTCCCTGGTCACGGATTCTGCCAGTCATTTCCGCCAATTCCATATAGTCCATCATTTTCATCTGCCATTCCTCCAGTGTGGGTATCTCTTGTGTCTTCCAATACTTTGCGATAAGTATTCTTGCTGCTGTTGTAGCATACATAAAGAAAGTTCTGTCCTTCTTTAACACCCTTGGCTCTCCAGATGTTGTTGGACTAGGGATGATGGGGGCTGTGGTCCAACAGCATCTGGGGACCCAAGGTTGAGAAAGGCAACTCTAGGACCACCTCACTCGGAAGGCCTTGCTCTGAGGGAGGGCCCTCTTCCTTTGAGGGATTGTCCCGTGAATCCACTGGACGAAATAGCGGATGCCTCAGGAGAGTGAGGAAAATTCTCAGGGATGATTCACACCCTGGCCGGCACTTTCTTGATCTCCTGCCCTCAGGCAGAAGATATAGAAGCATGATTAGTCACACCAACAGGGTAAAGAACAGCTTCTATCCGTGGGCTGTTAGGCTGCTGAATGAAAAGATAACAACAGGGCAACTGACTTTCGGGTTTGGGGTGTGTGCGTCAGTAAACAAGGAGAATTAAGACTAAGAGAGCTGAGTAGGGGGTGCTCGTGTAATCTCACTGTATACAAGTTGTACAAGTGACAATAAAGTATTTCAGTTCAATTTCAATTGCAAGAGAGCATTGGCACTGCTGATAAATCAACACCAGCAATTTTAAACCAGGGTAGTTAAGGAGAGGAAGACAAGAAGGAGTGGGGATACCAGCACTGCTCCTCTTAGTTAGCACAATGACCTGTCCTGTTCTGGTCCTGTTCAGGGGGCCATGCTGATTTATCATGTGCTGGGGACAGCACTAGTGCTCCCCACCCCCCGCCAAATGCTTCTGTAAGAAACGCGTTTCTCTCTGAATGTGTGGCATGACTCACAGGGGGTGTGGGCTTAGTTGCCCCACATTGCCAACATATACCCCCCCCCGTGATTTTGCTACCCATTTTGGTTCAGTCTGACGTTTACAAGCAACTTTGAAGAGCTGCTGCCAATCAGCCTGGTCAAAGTGCAAGGAACCTAAACTGTGCAAGGACAGAGCCAAAACTGTGTGCACAACAATAGCTGTGATTCTTACCTTGACACCATAGGTCTGGGGTTGCCAACCTGTGGCGCATGGAGCACCAGTGTCCTGCAAGCATTCAGTAGCCATTGCACTGAATAATAGTATTGATTTTTAATTGCATTTTTATTGCTTCTTTTATTTCTTACATTGCATTTTATCGTGTTACAGTTTGAATTCCGCGGAACACAATAAAATCCAACGTATAAAAATAAAAGAAGCAATAAAAATGCAATTAAAAATTATGCAGCATCTAGCACAGTGTGTTACAATTGCTGCAGTGGGCAGAAAAAATAACATTAAGCGGTCTGACTAGATCCTCAGCATTTTTCAGGCGGTCCGTGGGGGGGGGGGGAGATGTTTGGGAAGTGCTGTTGTGGGTCGCATTCTGGCTGTGCAAAAAAGCAGAGGCTTCTACACCCCCACAACACACTGAAATTTCACTATCCTCTATCGAGGCAATGAGAGGTACATTCCAGCCAAGCCAAGGCACTCTAGAGCAGACCCTGTGAGGGGCGTGTCCTGGCAGAGAGGGGGTGTGGCTTGTGGAGAGTCCGGTGGGGGTGGTGGGGAAAGTGCAGGTTCCCCAACCCTAGTCTACATCGTCCTGAGTTAGATGGGTCAGTGCTCTGACTCAGGCAGGATGTTCCTATGTTAGCATGGTTGCAAGAGCTCAGGGAAAGGCTTAGCACTTGTAGGCATGTAGAGTTGATCAATATGCTATACAGCAGCCTTTCCCAACCAGATGTTGTTGGACTACAACTCCCATCACCCCTAGCTAGCAAGGCCAGAGCTCAGGGATGATGGGAGTTGTAGTCCAACAACATCTGGGGACCCACAGGTTGAGAACCACTGCTGTAGAGCCTCGTGACTTCATTTATAGCAGGGGTCAGCAAGGTTTATCTTGCCTGGGCTGGATCAGTCCCATGGAGATTCTTCCGTGGGCCAGATCACATGCTTGCACTTGTGATTTCCGGCATCTGCGTGTGCGTAGATGCTATTTCCGGCGTCTGCGCAGACACGATTTCCGGCCCCATGGAAGCGAGTCCCCATGCCGCGCCAGTTTACCGCAGCGTGCGAGTGGGCAGCTCGGTTCAGGGGTGGCTTGTGGGCTGGTCAAACGTCCTCTGTGGACCACTTCCATCCCATGGGCATTAGGTTGCTGACCCCTGATTTATAGGGAGCCTGTGGTTCTCCAGATGCTGCTGAACTTCAAATCCCATCAGCCCCAGCCAGCATGGGCAATACTCAGGGATGATGGGAGTTGTAGTCCAGTTAAAAATTAAATAAATAAAAAATCCCCACCCACAACTCTTGTATTGTATTGTATTGTATTGTAGTTCCTCAGTTCCACTGTGTGCTGCACATACTGGTGTTTGTTATTTTGTCAGCCACTTAGAGACTGTCTTTAACATCAAGCAGCATAAATAGACAATCTCACCAGAGAACAACAAAAATGCAGATGGACGCATCATTACAATAAAAACCAAAATACCAAATGCTTTCAAAGTTTAGCATGATTATCCAACAAATAAGTCAGGGTGATTATAGGCACAATTTCAATCCATCATAAAACAAAGTGCAAATCTTTAAGACCTGCCTATCAATTAATGGCAAAATTCCAGAGCAGTCGCATGTCAGTGATAATATAACCAGTCACCACTGCATGGCAGTGCTTTACCAAACGGTACAAAAATTAGCAAAGTGTATACAAAGTTTCATAGAGGCTAAAATTTTTGAATACCAGTTACTTGCATCTTATGTGATCATAGCTTTGCTTGGGTGGGGGCTGGATGATAATTATTATTATTATTATTATTATTATTTTATTATGCCCAACTTTACAATTCTATGATCTCTGAATGGGGCTGTCGCTTGAAGGGGCTGCTTGTAGTTCTTCAATTTCCTGACCCTCTGGCACCAGTGTTTCTATAGCAATGGATTTCTGTCTGCCTCAGGGATGAGGAATGTCAGGCTTGGGTTCTCCCAGGTCTCTCCGCCTGCCTCCCAGAACTCTCCTGAGGCCACACCTCCCATTGACCCTGCTGTGTGCCCCAAATGCTGCCAGGAACGTGCCATTGAATTCTGACAGTGCCTCCTGCCTGCCTGAATGGAGGGCAGAGAGGGGTGTGTGAATGTGCATAGAAATGAGTCTACTGTGCAAAGGTCAAATTTGCATCCACTGCTCCACACATTTTGCCTCTGGCCCTGACGGCCACTGGCATGTGGCCCTTGAAAAGTTGCCCAGAAGAGACTGCAGCCCTCAGGCTGGAAAAGATTCCCCACTCTGATCTAATCTACTCCCCATCGTATGTATGCTACAGGGAATTGAGGATAACTCTTCACACATCTGATGAAGTAGATTCTAGTCCACAAGAGCTTGTGCCGTCATAACAGACCCTCCAAGGGTCCCTGTTTTCCAGGGACAGTCCTGGATTTATAGAAGCCATCCCGGTTTCTGATTTGATCCCAAAATGTCCCACTTTTCCTTAGGACGCCCCTATTTCCATCGGAGAAATGTTGGAGGGTATATGGTAGAATGTCCCTGTTGTCCCCAGAGGGCAAAATGTTGGAGGGTATGGCTCCCTCGAGCCAAGGAGATAAGTAATGATGAAACCTTTAGAAGACATCTGAAGGCAGTCCTTTATAGGGAGGTTTTTAATGTTCAGTATTTTTTTATGTTTCTGTATATGTTGGAAGCTGCCCAGAGTGGCTGGGGCAACCCAGTCAGATGGGTGCGGTATAATAATAATAATAATAATAATAATAATAATAATAATAGGATAAAAAGGTAAAGGGACCCCTGACCATTAGGTCCAGTCATGGCTGACTCTGGGGTTGTGGAGCTCATCTTGCTTTACTGGCCGTGGGAGCCGGCGTACAGCTTCCGGGTCATGTGGCCAGCATGACTAAGCCGCTTCTGGCGAACCAGAGTAGCGCACGGAAACGGCGTTTACCTTCCCGTTGGAGCGGTACCTATTTATCTACTTGCACTTTGATGTGCTTTCGAACTGCTAGGTTGGCAGGAGCAGGGACTGAGCAACGGGAGCTCATCCCATCGTGGAGATTTGAACCGCCGACCTTCTGATCGGCAAGCCCTAGGCTCTGTGGTCTAACCCACAGCGCCACCCGCATCCCAATAATAGGATAGGACATCCCTATTTTCTTCTGTGAAAGATATGTATGTGTGTGGCCATCACTAATGGGCATTTGCTAATTGCTCCTTTGTTAACATTAAGGCTAAGATGTAGAACAGATATGCAGAACCAGCAGAGAGGTGAATCACGAGGAAAGCTGGGTCAGTCTTCTTTCCTTTAAGGAGCTGAAAATCACCCCGTTTGTCTGAGGTGTTGCTTTGCAACCTGCGAATTTGGTTGTGATGGTTTATAACTAGATATTTAAACTGAGAATCGTACAGTTCCATATTTCTATACCCCTGCTTGTAAATTTCTTTAGATCAAATGTGGGGAGCCTTTGGCTTGCCAGATGTTTCTGAGCTACAACTCCCATCAGCCCCAACCAGCACGGCCATTGGCCAGGGATGATGGGAGTTGTAGTTCAGTAACACCTGGAGGGCCAAAGGTTCACCATGCCTGTTTTAGGTCAATGCATTTTTTTAAAGTAACCCAGAAAAGGAAGGTGTAGACATGCATCTAGTGAAAACTGTAAATTTGTCACAAGAGCTTAGGTACTTTTCCTGAGATGGCAGGTCACTGAATTTATACACAACCGAGAGAGAAGCTAGCTTTAGAAATGGGTTTCAGCTCCAGTTTGAATGCTGACCGGGCAAATAGCTTCATATATCCACTTTGCATAACTTGTTGTGCAGTTGAGAAGTTTAAAATAACATGCCTGGGCCACACCAAATCCAGAGTTTTGGGCAAGGATGAAGGAAGGAAGGATGAAGGAAGATGGAGAGAGATTCAGTCATGAGGCAATTGTAGGGTTTCAGGGGTCAGCAAACTTTTTCATCAAGGAGCCGGTCCACTGTCCCTCAGACCTTGTGGGGAGCCGGACTATATTTTTTGGGGGGAAATGAACGAATTCCTATGCCCCACAAATAACCCAGAGATGCATTTTAAATAAAAGGACACATTCTACTCATGTAAAAACACGCTGATTCCTGGACCGTCCACGGGCCAGATTGAGAAGGCGATTGGGCCGGATCTGGCCCCTGGGCCTTAGTTTGCTTACCCATGGTTTAGACTGTGTCCAATAGCCTCCATCCAATAGCATAAGAGCCCTTGTGCGAGTGGATGGCAGAATTTTAATGTTGCACAATAGCTCAGTTGGTTAGAGTGTGGCGCTGAGAACACCAAGGTTGCAGGTTCGATCCCGGTACATACAGCTGTGTTTTCCTGCATTGCAGGGAGAATCAGAAGAATATTTATTTGCATCAGCCATTAGCCATAGCAATAAAATAAAATAAAATAAAATGTACTGAAGATAGAGGCAAAAACTTAACTATGCAAAATACATTCTGGAGGTTTACATCAATAATCAAATAATAGATCTTATTCTAATTGCCACTGCTAAAAAATGTGCAGTTTTTGCTGTCTTGATCTGCTAGAAGAAAGGACACAGCAGCAATGGTTGGGTGACCTGGTAAGGATAGTAGTAGAGGGGTGTCAGTGAACTGCCATCAGTGCTGGAGGGAGAGAGCAAAATCCAGAGGGATTCCAGAGAGAGTCCCGGGATTGGAAGAGGCAGCCCATCTTCTGGGGAAGAGAATCAGTGTAGCACCAGTGGAGAAGGGGGGCAGATGGGGGAAGCGGCGAGGCGGTCCCATGACTCCTTGCCGGGGACCAGCGGGGAGAGTAGGGGTCGTAGGGGTCCTCCGTTGCCCACGCCCTCCTTGTGCAGAAGGCTTTCGTGCAGAGAGAGTAGGAGGAGACTAGGCGTCAAAGAGCTTCTTTGCTGGAAGAAGTTTAAGAAACGCCCACTGACGGATTCTGCCAGTGATTGAGACAGCCACGGGTGAGTGGCTGTCCGGACAGAAAAGGTTCACTCAGGCAACCCAGCCAGGTGTTTGCACTGGCTTACGCACGAGCAACCCCTAGAACCACTACAAGGGGTAATAACCTCACTCCACAAATCTTTATAAAGGATGCAAGCTAAAAGCACATGAGCTACTGATTCAATGCTGCCATCCCCACATGGAAATAAGCTTTTTTCCAGCGTAATTTTTTGAAATTGACCCTCAAGTGCAGCTGAAAGCAGTATATTTAATCTTGCGAAAGTGAAGGCCCGTCTGTATTTTGGAATTGTTAAATTTTGCAAATGGGGCGCCAACGTATCAAAGTGACTAGGTGGAAAATAGTCATACCATGGACAAAGTTTCCTTATTGTGGCCAAATTATTCTGCATTGCAGGGAGTTGGAATGGATCATCAGGGTCCCTTCCAATTCCACGATTCTATGAGATAGCCTATGGTCTGAAGCGCAACATCAAAAAAACAAAGATCATGGCCACTGGGCCCATCACCTTCTGGCAAATAGAAGGGGAAGAAATGGAGGCAGTGAGAGATTTTACTTTCTTGGGCTCCATGATCACTACAGATGGTGACAGCAGTCACGAAATTAAAAGACGCCTGCTTCTTGGGAGAAAAGCGATGACAAACCTAGACAGCATCTTAAAAAAGCAGAGACATCACCTTGCCAACAAAGGTCCATATAGTTAAAGCTATGGTTTTCCCAGTAGTGATGTATGCAAGTGAGAGCTGGACCATAAAGAAGGCTGATCGCCGAAGAATGGATGCTTTTGAATTATGGTGCTGGAGGAGACTCTTGAGAGTCCCATGGACTGCAAGAAGATCAAACCTATCCATTCTGAAGGAAATCAGCCCTGAGTGCTCACTGAAAGGACAGATCCTGAAGCTGAGGCTCCAATACTTTGGCCACCTCATGGGAAGAGAAGACTCCCTGGAAAAGACCCTGATGTTGGGAAAGATGGAGGGCACAAGGAGAAGGGGACGACAGAGGACGAGATGGTTGGACAGTGTTCTCGAAGCTGCGAACATGAGTTTGACCAAACTGCTGAAGGCAGTGGAAGACAGGAGTGCCTGGCGTGCTCTGGTCCATGGGGTCACGAAGAGTCGGATACGATTAAACAACTAAACAACAACAATGAGATAGCCCCCTCACGTGTTCTCTTAGAAAGGAACCCAACACAGCGGTTGTGCTGGAAGAAAGGAGTTGTGCAACCAATGGTTGTTGCACAATCTGTGCATCTGGAACTCTGTGGAAAGACGCAGTGGGCAGTAAGCTGGTCCAGAGGGGCAAATGGGGCACTGCTCCACATGCCTCCACCTGCCCTCAGCCATCTCCCACCTGCCTGTCTTCTTACTTATGAGCAGCCCAGGGGCAGCCCTGCCTGTCTCCTGCCTCCTCCTTCATCTCCGTGTTGCCCTTATGCAACTCAGCAGGGAGGAAGAGGATGGGGGGGCCAGACTAGAATTCGTCAGCTCTGTCATTGGTTCTGGCTCCCCCTACTGTTGGCCTCCCTTGCCTTCTGCCCCATCCATCTCAATGGGCACCAGCTGCCATTGGCACAATGGATGAATCTCTAGTCTAAACGTTTCCGCTTCAGCCGAAAAGCAGCACCCGAGAGTCAAAGGATTAAGCTTCGTTTCGCCACCGCTATCTGTAGAGTACAGCATTTGGGTAGCTTCAAAAGAAATGTGTCTGCATTGCAAAGAATTAGATTTCAAATGGTGTGTTCTGCGCTCACCCCCCCTTCAAAATAACTGCAGCAAACCCTGAGCGTCTGTAGTCTACAGTGAATTTTTGCATTCATTTTCAGTCAGATTATCTCATTTGAACCGGTAGGGAGAATCTATTCTCCTGAGAAGTTAAGCTCGTTGCTATAGCTACCGAGCTCTTTTCCCCTCCCAACTTTTGAACGTAAATGGTTAAATAGTACAGTTCTTATTGCCTGTAATATCTGGCATTGGGGCTACTTAGAGATGCTTCTCAGAGGCTAACGTGGGATTGCATGCATGTAGCCCATTTTGCATTATCTGCACGGGGCAACATTTAAATGCAAATTTGTAGATGAGCGAAAAAACGCAAACTCTTAAACATGCATTTTTTTTTTTAGAGGGCCATCGCGAAAAGCAGGCTCGGTGAAAGTCTAAACCAGGGGTCAGCAACCTTTTTCAGCAGGGGGCCGGTCCACTGTCCCTTAGACCTTGTGGGGGGCCAGACTATATTTTTTGGGGGGGAAATGAACAAATTCCTATGCCTTACAAATAACCCAGAGATGCATTTTAAATAAAAGGACACATTCTGCTCATATAAAAACATGCTGATTCCTGGACCGTCTGAGGGCCGGATTGAGAAGGCGATTGGGCCGCATCCGGCCCCCGGGCCTTAGGTTGCCTACCCCTGGTCTAAACGGTTTCAGGATTTCTGCAATGTGCAAGACTAGGTGGCGCTATTGGAGGATCAAAGGCCAGGTGTGAGTGTTAGCAAGAGCCGTTTTGGGGTGGGGCCACTGCAGAGATGGTGACCTGGGCAGGCTGGGTCAAGGCCCACAACCCAGCAAGGGGCCAATTGCTGACCCTTTAGGATCCCTTTGTGCTGTTCACACTCTGAGCACACAAAGACATTGGCGGGCAACAGCTATGGGGTTTCAGGTAGGAGACTCTCCCAGTCCTGCATGGAGATGTTGGGGATTCCACCAGAGACCTTCTGTATGCAAGGCAGTTGCTCTTCCGCTGAGCTATGGCCCTTGCTACTGCTCCCCCTTCAATATTAATAATCAATAATCAATAATTTATTTATGCCCCGCCCATCTGGCTGGGTTTCCCCAGCCACTCTGGGCGGCTCCCAACAGAATTAAAGCCACAATAAAACATCAAACATTAAAAACCTCCCTAAACAGGCCTGCCTTCCGATGTCTTCTAAAAGTCAGGTGGTTGTTTATTTCCTTGACATCTGATAGGAGGGCGTTCCACAGGGTGGGTGCCACTACTGAGAAGGCCCTCTTGCCTGGTTCCCTGTAACCTCGCTTCTCGTGGTGAGGGAACCACCAGAAGGCCCTTGGCGCTGGACCTCATTGTCCGGGCTGAACGATGGGGGTGGAGACGCTCCTTCAGATATACTGGACCAAGGGGGTTGTTGCTTCAGTTCAGTGTACACCGCTTAGACATATTTTAAATATGTTAAGCGGTATAGAGATTAAATATATTTTTAAATATATTCATTAAAAACACTTGCAAAGTAACAAGAGCTACTCTTCAGGGCCTCAGGTAGGGATGGGAGTGAAATTCATTTCCCTTTGCATTTCAGGGGAAACTTACCCAATTTGCACTTTCTGGGAGGGAAACAAGCAAACCAAAAAATAGCCGTCCTCTGAAGCGGTATATACATTTTGTTACAAATAAATAGATGGACAAATAGTCTGATCTTATATAAGGCAGGTTTCTCTATCCCATTAGAAGTGTTCACCATTTCTGTTGCAGAGGTCAATCTGTGTCCAGACTGGTCTGGAATACTTTTATGGCAAAGTCTGTGTTAAAAGGACAACAGTGATGTAGAGATTTGAAACTTTTTAAAGAAGCCTGCATCGTACTTTATCAACAGCCCATATGTCTGGACAGATGGCTTCTGTGGAGAAGAAAGTAAGCAGTCTGGATCTTTTGGCCTTCATGTTTTTGACAAGAAATAACATGGGGGTCTTTTTTTTTAGACTTCACAAGCCATTAATCTTGTGGCTGTGCTGTTTGTTTCTTTCTCTCTCTCTCTCTTTGTTGGAAGCACAATCATTTTGTGTCATGAATATGATTTCAATGCTGTTCTCTTAAAAGACCGTCGTGCAGTTCTGCAGCGCATCTAAATGTGGTTCTCAGAGCCAAAAAAAAAAGTTTCTGTCAGAGCCTTCTGATAGACCTCTGCTCCCCAATTCAGACAGTGTGTCTAATTTCCTGCTCTGAGGTTTGATTGGACAAACCACTAATCCTGCAAATTATTTTTTAAAAGTTTGTTTTGCCTAGGCCTTCTTGTATCTGTATTGTACTACTTCCAGTTGCAGGCAGCGACTCGCATGACAGAATTCCTTTGCACTTAAAAAAAATAACTACCCTCCATGCACATAGAAAGTTAGCATGTCAGGGATAAGGTGAGGGCAGAACCTTTCCTCCTGATAGGCTGCTGTTCTGCATGCATAGTATTTTAGGTAATTATATTTTAGTATTTTAGGTAGAGTATTATACAAGTTTTCCACCTCAGAACTTCATATCAGAATCATATGTCTCTTCAGAATATCTGGGCTAGCAGAGTAGGGCTGATTTCAAAAAATGTTTTGGTCTTTAATGTGCATAATTGTCTTCATGTCTTAGAGAAGTGGGTAGA